GTAGCTTGATGTGATTTTGAAGTCTCTAAATTTACGTTGCATTTTGAATGAAGCCAGCTTTTGTATGGCATGTTGGCCATGGCGCAAGCGATAAGTATAAAAGATTACCTACTTACAGTTTCTTGAAGCGGTAACTAGGCACAGGTATTTTAATTAAGGATAAACTGAACACACCAAGGTACCCGACTCGAAACTTTGTGTATACGGGCGGAATAAGAAACTGAAAAATCGCGACAATAATATTGCTCTAAACACGGACTCAAACCTGATTGCACTCCTACCTGCTTTTATGCTCTGTTGATATGGACAGTTGACCCTTTATATCTAGTTCGGCGCGTGCACAAGGCGCGTAATTTTAAATATCCATCACGACCACTTCCCTCTTCACCTTTAGCTCTGACCCAGGAATGACCCTCTAAATAATAGGTTTCTTGGACTATCTGCCTTTTCCATGATACAAAAATTCTGGGCCCCAGCCACCTGTATATAGTGCGAAATAAAAGCACTTGGCTTCTCATCTCGTCTGTACCGGCCTGTCTCCGACCGATCCAACAAAGTACAGTCCGTCCATGGATCGGCCCAGAAATGTCCACAAAGAGAATCGAACCTTCTCTCTTGGTTGGCGTTCCTTTCTTATTCGCTACATCCCCCGAACTTCAGTGAGAATGTGAATACATGCTTCTCTGGTTAGCAAAGTAATCCTTACTTTGGGCCTCGTCAGTTGGAAATAGATTTCTGCCATTAATTGCTCTCAGGTTCTGAGGAACGGCGTCCATAACCTGTTGAGAATTTGAAGCCCAGGAGCAAATCTCAAATACGCCAGCTACATGAACTTTGATGGAATCACTCACAAGCCTCGACGCCATCGTTTTGAAAATGAATGATGGACCTTAACTACCCTGGGATGATCCTGCCCAAATTCTTCTGCACCACTTCTTTCTTTGACGTAAAGTCCGGTGGCTTCAAAAGGTTTCACAAGGCTTTGCAAGGGTTCACAAGGTTTTAAAAGACTTCACAAGGCTTCACAAGGCTTCACAACGTTTCACAAGCCTTCACAAGGCTTCACCAGGCTTCACAATGCTTTATAATGCTTCACAAGGCTTCATAATGCTTCAGAAGGTTTCAAAAGGCTTCAGAATGATTCACAAGGTTTCACAGGCTTCACAATGCTTCACAAGCCTTCACAAGGCTTTACAAGGCTTCACCAGGCTTGCTTCACAATGCTTTATAATGCTTCACAAGGCTTCATAATGCTTCAGAAGGCTTCAGAAGGATTCAAAAGGATTCACAAGGTTTCACAAGGCTTCACAATGCTTCGCAAGCCTTCACAAGGCTTTACAAGGCTTCAACAGGCTTCACAATGCTTTACCAGGCTTCACAAGGCTTCACAATGCTTCATAAGCCTTCACAAGGCTTTAAAAGGTTTCACCAGGCTTCACAATGCTTCATAACGCTTCAGTAGGCTTCACTTCACACGGCTATATAAGGGTTCACAAGGTTTCAAAAGACTTCACAATGCTTCACAAGCCTTCACAATGCTTTACAAGGCTTCACCAGGCTTCACAATGATTTATAATGCATCACTAGGATTCAAAAAGCTTCACAAGGCTTCATAATGCTTGAAAAGGCTTCGCAAGACTTCACAAGGCTTCACAAGGCATCACAATGCTTCATAATGCTTCAGAAGGTTTGACAAGGCCCACAAGACTTCACAAGGCTTCACCAGGCTCGCTTCACAATGCTTTATAATGCTTCACAAGGCTTCTCAAGGCTTCATAATGCTTCAGAAGGCTTCATAATGCTTCAGAAGGCTTCAGAAGGATTCAAAAGGATTCACAAGGTTTCACCAGGATTCACAATGCTTCATAATGCTTCAGTAGACTTCACACGGCTATATAAGGGTTCACAAGGTTTCAAAAGACTTCACAATCCTTCACAAGCCTTCATAATGCTTTACAAGGCTTCACCAGGCTTCACAATGATTTATAATGCATCACAAGGATTCAAAAAGCTTCACAACGCTTCATAATGCTTGAAAAGGCTTCGCAAGGCTTCGCAAGGCTTCGCAAGGCTTCGCAAGGCTTCACAAGGCATCACAATGCTTCATAATGCTTCAGAAGGTTTGACAAGGCCCACAAGGCTTCACAAGACTTCACCAGGCTTCATAATGCTTCAGAAGGCTTCAGAAGGATTCAAAAAGATTCACAAGGTTTCACCAGGATTCACAATGCTTCATAATGCTTCAGTAGGCTTCACACGGCTATATAAGGGTTCACAAGGTTTCAAAAGACTTCACAATGCTTCACAAGCCTTCACAATGCTTTACAAGGCTTCACAATGCTTTATAATGCATCACAAGGATTCAAAAAGCTTCACAAGGCTTCATAATGCTTGAAAAGGCATCACAAGGCTTCTCAAGGCTTCATAATGCTTCAGAAGGCTTCAGAAGGATTCAAAAGGATTCACAAGGCTTCACAATGCTTCGCAAGCCTTCACAAGGCTTTACAAGGCTTCACCAGGCTTCACAATGCGTTACCAGGCTTCGCAAGGCTTCACAATGCTTCATAAGCCTTCACAAGGCTTTAAAAGGTTTCACCAGGCTTCACAATGCTTCATAATGCTTCAGTAGGCTTCACACGGCTTTATAAGGGTTCACAAGGTTTCAAAAGACTTCACAATGCTTCACAAGCCTTCACAATGCTTTACAAGGCTTCACCAGGCTTCACAATGCTTTATAATGCTTCACAAGGATTCAAAAAGCTTCACAAGGCTTCATAATGCTTGAAAAGGCTTCGCAAGGCTTCACAAGGCTTCACCAGGCTTCATAATGTTTCAGAAGGCTTCATAATGCTTTAGAAAGCTTCATAATGCTTCAGAAGTATTCAAAAGGATTCAAAAAGCTTCACAAGGCTTCACAAGGTTTCAGAAGGCTTCACAATATTTCACAAGGCTTCACAAGGCTTCAGAAGGCATCACAAGGCTTCACAAGGTTTCACCAGGATTTACAAGGCTTCAGAAGGCTTCACAAGATTTCCCAAGGCTTCACAAGGCTTCACCAAGACTCCAAGGCTCTACGATTACAAGGATTCAAGGCTTCACAAGGATTTACAAGGCTTCATAATGCTTCAGAAGGTTTCAAAAAGTTTTACAAGGCATCACAAGCCTTCACAAGGATTCACAAGGCTTTATAATGCTTCAGAAAGCTTCACAAGGCTTGACAAGGCTTCACAAAGTTTTACAAGGCTTCACAATGCTTTACAATGCTTCAAAAGGCTTCACATGGCTTCATAATGCTTCAGAAGACTTTTAAAAGCTTCAGAAGGATTCACCAAGATTCAAAAAGCTTCACAAGGCTTCACAAGGTTTCATCAGGATTTACAGGGCTTCAGAAGGCTTCACAGGGCTTCAGAAGGCTTCAGAAGATTTGACAAGGCTTCACCAAGACTCCAAGGTTCTGAGATTACAAGGCATCACAAGGATTCACAAGGCTTTATAATGCTTCAGAAAGCTTCAGAAGTCTTTACAAGGCTTGACAAGGCTTCACAATGCTTTACAATGCTTCAAAAGGCTTCACAAGGCTTCACGAAACTTTTTTTTAATTTTGTTTTAGATGATACAAGGTGAATTTATTAGAGGACGATTTTCTGTTCAAAGTTTCAAAAAGATAATAGTTTCCTAATGAATATGGCGGTTTATGATTTTATGAGTTACTGCGTAATGCCCGGTTTGGAAAAGTTACTGGCTACAGTCTGTCGGGCGTTAGCTAGCGATAATACAATTTAATGGGGTTTACGTCACCAAAACAGCTCAGTTAGCATGACGTAGAATAAAAAGTGTTTGTGTTAGTTTCGATGAATTCGATTCGTTCATGGTAAAAAATGTCCGAGTTAACCTATTAGCGCCATTTTGTGGGTGGTCATGTCAATTTGGAAAGAGTAGTGAGGATGCGTATTTCGAAAAGCGTCCTCATACAACACGATTTATGCCGAACTCGCCTTCGGCTCGCTCGGCATTGGTGTAGCCTTTTATTAACCTTTTAATATACATAATAAATATGTACAAGGTGTCCACTACAGTTTTCTCCTTTTTTTATATCGGGAGACCAGATCTTATTCGCACTGCAGGAGGTGTTTTTATTTTCGTTTTAAATTCAGAATCTCTATCAGGAGAATATCGACCGTGAGGTGGTCCAATAAGAGGAGCACTTCCTGTAAAAGATTTGTAACTCTTTGTATCAGGAGAATATAATATGTGAAGATGTAATTCGGCTTTTAAATGTCGTGCATGCTCCTTCTCTTCTAGGAAAACGTACCAAACGAGATTTTTGCATTAGGAAAACATAATACAATACGGGTAAATATTTATGCTCCTAAAAAGAAGTATTACTTAGTGTTTGTAATTGTCCTTTGCCTACCAGGAGAACATACGAGGGTTCTTTTCGCATTCCGTGTAAATGAAATGTGCGAGATGGCATATCTCCTTCTAGCATAAAAGGTATTCTTCGGAGATGTGTTCTTGAGCTGCCAGGACAACATACGTAGGTAATCAAAACGCAAATAAAGCAAAGAGCACTTGGAGAAGAGCTGTTTAAAGACTTTGCCGTCACATAGATATATGAAATTAATCCAGCAGGTGGATATAATATGCGAGGAGGTACTTGGACAGAAATGCTGTCTTCGCACTCCTAGAGGAATGTTTTAAAACCCTAATGTAGCTTAAATTTTCTAGATCGCCCTATCACGAGAATATATTTTGTAAGGAGGCACTTATTCTTGTTATAAAGAAAGATAAATGTTCCTTATTTACCAGGAGAGCATTACAAACCGCGAGTTTTTTTTCGTACATCTAGAGGGGTGGTTCAAAGTCGTTTTAAATTAAATCGTCGAGTTTTTCGTGTCATTATAAGGAAGTGCGCAGAGAGGTATTTTTGCTCTTGCCTACCAGGATAACATTATAAACGATTACTTCAAAACGGGTGTTTCGAAAGAGTTTTAACATACCTCTATAAAGTTCTTTGGCTACCAGGCAACAATGGAGGAGGTCTTTTTCACAGATTGCACACTTCAGGAGAGTGCTCTGGATCCGTCGAAACCCTTGTGTCTAGAAAATTAATATTTTTAAAAGACTTGCGGAGCCTTCCACTAACCTCTAACGGTGGCGTGCGTTCAATGATTTTTCCGGTCCGTTCGCCTGTTTGGCAGGTGATGCCGATCTACTCCTTTTTTACTTTGTGCATATGGTTCAAATTCCCGTGTTTTTACAAGACAAATCGACCTTTTTTGAAGTTTATAAGCGTTTTCGTTTGACACAAGAAACAAGATGGCGTTTATTGACAGCTGACGTGAAACCATACGAACCTATCAACGGTCGTACGTTTATGTTAGAAAGAGAGAAGCACATTCAACTACTGAACGCACTGCAGAAGATTTAAAAAAGTCTCCAAGAGGAGTTTAGGAACTACCTACCTATCAACACTTGGTCTTTAGCATTTAAGATACTTGGTGTGGCAGAGTGTTTGGAAAAAGGCAAACTTTGAGGAGTCTTTAGACCCATTAAGGAACTTTCAAGTTCTCCAGACTCCCTGAGGCACCCTTTGGAGTCCCTTAGAATTCGGATTCGGTCTAGAAGAGTCTCATTGTGAAAGGCATCAGACCGTTTTTAGTGTTTAAAAACCTTTAAAGGTCTTGAAGAACCTTTATGTTGATGTTTCTTAAACCCTTATGAAGTGTATTGTGTAAGGAATTGTACGGGTGAATTTGGGGGGTGGGGAGGGGGGTATAGAATACCTCCCCAGCAGACGACAGTTTTATTTTCATCTCCAAAAAGACCACTATGGGAGTACGTAGACTTATAGAGAAAGGGTTGTGGAGTCTGTCCTTGTTTGGTGGTTTTAAACCCTCGGTATCCCACACCACCCAGACCCCCCGGTGGTACGATGCTGGCATTACTTTTTAAGAGAAGGGGCGACAGTTTCACTGCCATCTCCAAGCAACCACCATGAGAATACAAAGACCTATAGGGAATGCGTTGTCTTTGTTGGGTGGTTTTAAACACTCATCTCTCTTTGGGGAAGGGAGTATTCCATATGCATGTTAATTATTCGAAGTACATCCGTTTTGTATGTGGAAGTACGCCTACAAATTAAGATAGATAGATAAAGAACTTCACATACCAACAAATATGAACCTTGGCCTAGGGGAATTTTCTACAAAATCGCACACTATGGTCATCGACGCCGCATGGAACTAATACCGACCAGAAGGTATTGTGACTTTTGTTATTTTATTGTAATCCAAAAAACGTCATGGGTACTATAGAACTTTATAGTTACTGTTCAATAACGTGCTAATTAACTGGTTGCATTAAAAAGAACAACCCCTAATTTTCTGTGGATTTTAACTGGTGGAGCTTAATTGCTGAATTAGTTCAATACTATTAAATTTTCCGGTGCTATGACCTTTGCACTACTTCTTAGGAGAAGCGAATTTGATAATTCTTTCTCAAAAACATCATGAGAGTTCTGATAGTTAACCGTATTGTGTAGGGAATTGTTACCGGGGGGTCTGGGGAGTATGGACGACAGTTTTACTGCCAATCAACAAGCGACCATCGTGAGAGTACAGAGACCTATAGGGAATGAGTCGTGGAGTTTGTCTTTGTTGGGTGGTTTCAACCCTCGTCTTCCTTTTGCTCGGTGGTATTCCATACGCATGTCAATTATTCGAGGTGCATCCGTTTTCTATTTGGAAGGACCCTTACAAGAACTTTCGAGGTAAATGAAATTCCTTTGTGATCGTAAGAATAATACGTTCGGAGGAGTTTGTACAAATTATTATGGGTAGTTACGGAATTAAAAAACCAAAAAAAAACATGTTCCGAGACAGCACGCGTATTCAAGAACTTTAATTGACATCGGAAGTTTGAATTTATCTATGGAGATCTTTGACCTGGTGGATGTCTGAGACAGTTGACCGCATGGATTTAGGATTTACTTAACTGTCAACTCCCCGCAAATAAATATAACTTCATATACCAACAAAAACAAACCTTGTCCTAGGGGAATTTTCGACAAAATCGAACACTATGGTAATCGACGCCGTATCGAACTACTACCGACCGGGTTGTATTGCATGTAGAAAGAGGCTTAAGCTAATTGTCAATTAGAAGATTTCCTGTATGTTTGATTAGTTGAATTGGATTTTTTTTCGGATACTGAAACGCTGAATCTGTTACATAAAATGAGCAGTTTATTTATTGGGGAAATGTACAGATGACTACTAACTAATTCCGAGTGCTACAGTATAATTGTGCCAAGCCTGTGCACTATGTACAAAGGTAACAGTACGTAAGCAGAGACGACGAAATACTGAAGGATCTTCAGAAGGCGAGATCTCGTCCTGGCTCTCCCCACCGTTGACAGGTCGTCCTTTAGAATATACAGTCGCACCCCTTTCGTAATCCTATCTGAGAACGTCTGCCAGTCAATCGAGTTGATATCGAAGCAGAAGACGTCCCGGTCCTCTTCCTCCAGTAAATTCCAGAGGTTCTGCGTGTTGTCATCTTTGAAGTACCACTCCTTGCAAGAGGCGAACTCGACGACCTTACAAAACTCCCTTATCTTCCTGTGCGTCTTTAGGGTACTGTAAATTGAGGCTTAGACTGACTGCGTAGTCAAGAGCGGTGACTTACATGTGTACTTTTCCTAGGAAGAAGCTCTTCAGGTTTACTATGTACATCAAGGGAAGGTAAAATAGCTCGACTAGGTCTAGCATCTTCTTGTTAGTGCCGTAGAGGACGTAGCGGTGGAATATCTTCCGATTCGATGGAAGGGCGGATTCGCTTCGCTCCAGTACGTCCTTCTGCAGGCCCCAGGTGATTGGATTTCGTGGACCGCTGACGAAGTTATAAATCGGAATCTTCGACATTCTCGACCTGAAAGGTGCCGACTGAGCGATCGGTGAAGTGATCTCGCGCGACTTACCACTCCCTTCCCACCGCCCAACCGGCCGCGATCGCTTGGTTCACGCAGAAATCGACGGGGACCAGATCGACCACGTGCTTCGGATCGCAGCACATCGTGTGCACGACGCCGACGTTGATCGTCGCGACGAGAAGCGACGTGAGATCGTAGGATGACGCCCAGCCCGTTGTCGGTTCGCGATACGGCGCGATCACTATGGACGGACGCACGATTACCATCGGCAAACCCGTACCCTTCTTCCTCACCAGATCTTCGGCGATGTTCTTCGTAAAACTGTACGTATTGGGCCATTTGCCTAGAATACTGAAAAAGAATTATGCACGCGCATTTACCGTCGCGCCTCTTACGTTGGAGTCATTTCGTTCAATTTCTCGTTGCTGATCGTGTTCGCCATGGTTATCAGGTCGGTGTAATTCTCCTCGGGTACGTAGAAGGCTTCGTCTGCTATGTCGCGTATGCATTGCGAATACGCTGTGGAGACGTGCACGAAAGACTGTAAAAAAAATTAAAATTCGAGGTGAATACCTCAACCACCCCAATTTTGCAAAGCCAAACCCACGTTTTTCTCTTCGCACAAAGGAACGAAACTTTTAGGTCCGAAGAGATCGTGACAACCGCGCTCGCTCTTGATATGACATGATATCGCCAGACATATTTTCGTTCAGGTTCGCTACGAAGCGGTACATGTGCAAATTTTCCTGTCTACCGAAATATAAATTCGAAAAACTACAAAAATGTTAAATGAGAATACCTGGAGAACGAAAATTTTCAAAAGACTTTTTAGTCGTTTTCCTTATTCGATGCCTAGGCAAAAGGTTAGGGTGTCAAACAGTATCCCCAGGTCAGGTAAGACCAAGCGGTAGGTTCGGTATCATTTTTTATTTCCAAAAACTACGCAATGCGCAAGGCAAAGTTGATCCATGCGGAGAGGGGCAGAGGGGGGGGGGGGGTATTATACTCATAAAAATAAAAGCCTTATTTTTACGGTTTTTAAATAGTAAGCCATGGATTCATGTAGATACTGTTTTAGATATTGTACGGTCATTAAAAAAATTTGATGTACATGGTGGCCAACTAAGAATGCGAGGTACTGTATCTGAGAATCTATCCATCGTAGAGACTTGCGGTAAAAAAATTTATTACTAAAACAGCCAGGAACAAAACCCGGAAAATATTTTTAAGTTTCTGAAATGACCGCTAGGGGGCGTAACTGCAATCTGGAATCTAAAAAAGTTATTTTTCTGTGAATTCCGCTATATTAACCTAACAAAAAAATGTCCGGTCTTTGAAGTTGACGATAATTTGAACAATTTTTTTTCCTTTTTTAAATCGATCTACCTTAGGGCCACAAATTATATAATAAAAATAATTCCGGAAAAATTAGCTTAAAAAAATAAAATTTTGAGGGTATAAAATTTTCTTTGGCCTAAATTTTAGGTTAGGAACAAGATATCGAGATGCGGTTTTCGCGAGCTTGTTTAGGCATCATTTAGCTACTTTTTCATGAAAAAAAATCAAACCAACGCATTTAATTTTTTTGAGAAAATTAACCATTTCTGTCGGAATGTCGAAAAAAGCCCTCAAGCGGCGATATGTGAAACTAACAAAACTTCAAATTAACACGAGTTTGTTAAAATCGGCTCAGTCGTTTCGAAGATACAGGGTGTTATTTACGGAAACCTTTGAATACCCCCCACCACTTCATTTTTAGAGATACAGGAAAAATTGTCAAACAAAAATTGTTCAGATTATCGTCAACTGCAAAGACCGGGCATTTTTTTGTTAGGTTAATATAGCGGAATTCACAGAAACATCACTTTTTTAGATTCTAGATATAGAAAGTACCGCAATCATCCGCCATTTTTGGGCAAATTTGCTGCCAACTTAAAAAAATTGACAAATAAAATCTGAATAGTTGTAATTTTTTATAACCTAACTTCATAGTACTGTCATGTTTTATAAAAATATATACAGATATCTCCAAACAGGTGGAACAATCCCTAACATTAAAATTACTAGAATCTGGTAACTTCCGCCATTTTTTGGGCAAAAATCATGCGTTCTCTCTCTAACACACGAGCCCAATGGATTGCGGTACTTTCTATATTTAGTGACTTTAGATTCCAGATTGCAGTTACGCCCCCTAGCGGCCATTGCAATAATTTAAAAATATTTTCCAGGTTTTTCTCGTGGCCGTTTTAGTAATAAATTTTTTTACCGCAAGCCTCTACGATGGACAGGTTCCGAGATACAGTACCGCGCATTCTTATTCGGCCACCCTGTATATAAAAATATTTGTAATGATAAATCAATTTAATCAAGAAAAAATGTATATACAGGATGTTGCATTTAAAAAATACCAACTTTGGTCAAATCTTAGAACAAGTGGCCCAAAAATTTTTTTTTACTTTACCACTAGCTTCTGTGTAAAAATATGTAAACTAATCAGTTTTTTACCAAACATGAGTAGCAAGACATGATAACATCTCAAAAAGTCAAACTTTTAGTTTTCACCCTGTATCAAAATCGGTTTCATTTCGTGGTTTCTTATTTTGCCGGTAGAGGTCACACATAGTATCATTTTTTTTAAATGTCCCCTCCTATTACATTTGCTATTGTTGCGCAGAACGATCCCGTTTACCTTTAGAAAAAGGCAAGTTCGTTAAGGGTAACCTTTAACTAGGCACTAGAAAATATGAAAACTCAAATTCGGGATCAACTTGCCTTGTTTGCTTGGGCAACATAATTCATTGGCTATTTCAGTAACTCACACTCAAATGCCTACCTTAAGATCTTCAATCTTCTTCGCGATCTCTATGAGACTATCTGTCCCACCGATGTTGATCAAAATGGCACGCCTGAGCTCCTCGGTAAACTTGACGGTCGCCCCGACATGAAAAATACAATTAACCTCTTTGACGATCTTCTCCTCGTCCACCTCGCTCAACCCCAGCCTCGGAAGCTCGAGATCGCCGGTGATGACCGCCAGCTTCTTCAAAACGCTCGGATTGCTCTGCTTCAAGCCGTTGTGGATCTGGGGAGATTACTTTGAACGCGACCGACGCGAGCACCGCTTACCGCATCGCTCAGGAACTCCTCGAGACGACTTTCGCTATCTTTGCGACGCTTCGAGCGGATCAGCAGATAAATTCGTCTAACGTCGGGGCACGAACGTAGCAGTTTCTCGACGAGGTAGCTGCCGACGAAGCCCGTCGCTCCGGTGATCAAAATCGTCTTGTCGGCGTAGTAGCTCTGTATGCTCGTGGAACGCTCCATTGTCGGCTGCCACTGAAAACAATTAAAAAAAATTATGCGGCTCGAAGGACCAATATCTTGAAACGCTCGCTTTACAAGTATGAATCGGTAACCTCATGTTTCCGGTAGTATTATCGAAACTTTGTTTAAATAACAGCATTCAAAATTTGCAAATGTGACCGTGAAACCAAAACTGTTTTACACAAGGTCTTGTTAGTAGTGTAACGGTAACCCTTAATTCGGATTTAGCTTTTATGATTGTTTATAGAGGTAGGTAAAGTTGGGATTGTTGAGATTTTAAGGATTTTAGGCATCAAACATCATAGAAAGTCTACAGGGTGGTATTTTCGTTTTTTGATATGTCAGTCATAAGTGGCCTAAAAATGGCTTTCGGAAATCGTTAACGCATGAGTTCATCTCTGGATCGTGAGAAATGAAACGTGGCATATTTGAACGTTGATTTATTACCCTAGCTTTCATTAATAATTTGTGGTGCAGAGACGAACCACTGATTAAAGTTGTCCGTTGTCGTTAATAAGGCGCCATTTTGTAGGCGTCAATTAATTAAGTACTAATAGAAAGGGGTTAGTCTGCGAAGTTTTTGCCCTTTTATATCTAAAATAAGCGTACCAAATTTGGTTCCAATCGATTCGGCCGTTTAGCCGGAAATGAGAGTACAGACGGACCGATAGACCGACAGACCGCCATCGTCGAGATTGTGTTTGATTCGGATTACTGGTGCTTCAAAACGTTTAAGTCGATGAGTCGCCAACTTGTCGTTTCGCGTTTGGGTAAACAATATACCCTAAGTTGTGTTTTTCCGCACACCTGTGGCCATTCGGTTATGGTCGGACTTTTTCGAGGCTGTGATTTTCTGCTATTTCGCAATTTTCAAGCTATGGAGTTAAAAATTTCAGGGTAGTCAGGTGTATGTTGATCTCTAGAAACTATTGTTCGTCAGTGTGAGCGAAAATTAAATTCGGCATATACAGGGTGTTTTCGAAAAAATGGGTTTTATTGATGTGAGGAGAAATGTTAACGGCGTAAATTAACTCTGGCAGGCGTTTGTCGTTTTTTACCTCAGCCTCTGAGTTTTTTACGGTTTTAGCGTGGGTACTTATGAATTCGTAAAAGCGAATACATAATTTGATGTTGGGAAATATGTTTTTATGTAATTTATTTTGTTAATTTCTGTATAAGTAAACATTACAAAAAATATGAAACATTCAATTCTGAGTGTGGTTGATCAAAATAATACGTACTTAATAAAGAAGAACCAAGTTCGTGCTCGATGTTGGCGCAATTAGGGTCGAGGCGGTTTAGGATATTTACTTTGATATACTTAAACTATGGGAGGCAATAAAGTGCTCATTTGAATACTTAATTAGCAAAGAAGTGAACAAAAAGTGTTATTCCAAATTTATACTTATTTTCGGTCAAGTCATAAAATGAAATAATAATCAAATAATCGACCCCATTGGCGCATTTCACCAGATGGCGTTACTTGGTATCGAACTCAAAATTGAACAAAAAATCACAAAAAGGTTCGATTAGATATTTTTGTTTTACTGTTGCAAGTTCAACAGCCACAAGTACCTAGTTCCAGTGCTTCCAGGAATACGAGTAACTCCCCTATAAGGGCTCTGCCGCTTAATAATTTAATAGCGAACAGTGCTCACCGTTAATTGAATACAAACACCCTAATAACACAAGATATTCCTGGAATGTACTACCAAAGTTCTATTAATATTTGAATGTCCTGGACATTCAAGGAACATTCGGTGAACGTAAAATTACATTATTCCAGGAATGTTACCGTAAGACATTCTAGGAACACACCCCGAATATCCCATATTCCTATTGTTGGTATTTTATTTGTTGACATAATAGGCAGTATCAAGTTCATGTCGCGTACTCTGCATTACTACCTAAAGTAAGTAGTTTCCAATTTAAAAGCTTTAATATGCTGAAATCTTGCAGTGTTTTTTGTGGGAGTAAGCGCCACCTGTTGACTGCTTCGCATGTGATTTGTCAGATTTGAGATTTGTGCATTGTGTGAGTGGGGTGGCAGGTGCATTCGCTATTCTTCTCTCGTGAGTGACGTGACCTCGAACTTCGAAGTCTGAACGTCAACATTCTCCGTATTGTATTCATGTGTTATTTAGTTGATTCGCGGAATAATATTGATATCCATCAATCAGAGCGCAACGGAACGGAATATTAATTGCCGTAGCGAAAACGCGTGTTGTGTTGGTTGTTGGTGGACCAGTATTCTTCTAACCCAAACCGTAAAGGGCGCGGCGCACCCACGCTTTTAATTTAACTTAACCTACAAATCGCCGTGTGCTTTGTGGTTGTTGGAGATCGCAGTTTTTGTTGTTTTTGACAAACATCTTTTCATTTAAATAGGTATGTATATAAGTATTATAAAATTCTTTTTCTATTTTTTTATTCGTTGTTTTCCGGTGCCTGCAGTAAAGGAAATAATAATATAGTCGATGAATAACATTAATTACTTAATCCAGATTATGAATTAGAATTTGTTTACTTATGCATATTATATTACTGCATAATAATAATTATGGATTCAGAAAAAAGAAAATTATTTAATAAACTTTATCAGCGATATAAACGATCTAAACAAGTTAAGAAAGTCGAGGAGGAGCCCTCCACATCTAAAGATTTTGATTATTGTATAAATAGTGAAAGTTCCACATCCCAAAAAGACATTTGTAATGTTTCAGAGGAAAGTACAGACTCCGAATTAGACTTTTGTGATATTGCTCAAATTCCAAGTAAAATTCAGGAAGAAAATTTTGTCGAGACTGAATTTTTAAATGATAAAATTGAGGATAAATCAGAGCAGACCGGACATGGGGTACACAAGTTTACTTTAATAGAACAGTTATCAGATTGGGCCATAATTCACAACATTGATCATTTTGCTTTATCTGATTTATTGCGAATTCTAAATCAAACGATTGACATTAATTTGCCCAAAGATCCAAGGACTATTTTAAAAACCCCACGAAATACTGGTTCTCTAATTGAAAAGGTAGAACCAGGTGTCTACTTTCATTTTGGGGTAGAAAATTGTCTCATAAATTTACTAAATCGTAGAGATGTTAATGACTCGGAGGATCGGAGTAATATTTTAGAAATTTGTGTAAATGTTGATGGTCTTCCATTATCAAAAAGCTCTGGAAGTCAGTTATGGCCTATAATGATCAATCTTTTTCAAAATAAAAATATTGTGGAGGTATGTGGATTATATCAAGGTAACAAAAAACCAGAAAATGCTAATGTTTTTATGTCCAAGTTTGTAAATGAAATCATCAGTTTGATGACTAATGGTTTCACTTATAAAAGCCAAATATTTTTTGTAAAAATTAAAGCCTTTATTTGTGATGTCCCTGCAAAAGCTTTTATAAAGTGTACCAGAGGTCATAGTGGTTATATGTCTTGTTCTAAATGTGATACTGAAGGTGTGTTTAAAAAGAATCGAATTTGTTTTCCTGCAATAGAAGGATTTCATCTTCGAACAGATGCAACTTTTAGACGCAAAGAACAAGATAGCCACCACACAGATACTTCTATTTTGGAATCTATACCTAACTTGAACATGATAACATGTTTTCCGCTAGACTACATGCATTTAGTATGTCTCGGCATTGTAAAAAAATTAATTAGCAATTTGTGGTTATCAGGAAAACCACCTTACCGTTTTTCAAGCCAGCAAATTTCTGAAGTTTCTCAAAAACATTTGTCATTACAAAATCAAGTACCCACTGAATTTTCCAGAAAACCGAGATTGCTTTCTGATATTAAACATTGGAAAGCAACGGAGCTTAGGATGTTTTTATTTTACACTGGACCAGTGATCTTAAAAGAGAGTGTCACTAATGAGATCTACCAAAATTTTATGTCATTGCATGTTGCAGTTACACTTTTTTCAAAATCTCAAAATATTGATTATGCTGCTGAATTGTCAAAATATTTTATTCAAACATTTTCACTGCTCTATGGAGAAGAAAATATATCACATAACGTGCATAACCTTTTGCATATTGTTGATGATGTTAAAATGTTTGGCAGCCTTGAAAATTTCAGCGCTTTTCCCTTTGAAAATAATATGTTATTTTTAAAAAAATTGGTGCGCAAAGGGGATCGACCCCTTCAACAAATTGTTAATAGAATTGTAGAGCGAAACAAATGTGTTTTGGGATCTGGAAATATTAGGGCAGAATATCCTGTATTAAAATATGAACATTCTAATGGGCCACTTATTGCTAGTGTTTTTGGTATGAAACAGTTTAAAAAAATATATATCAAAAATTTTTTATTAGCTTTAGATGATTCAAACAATTGCTGTTTCATGAATGATAACAGTGTAGTTATTATTAAAAATATTGTTTCTTTAAATAATGTAGTAACAGTAATTGGTCAGAAGTATTTAGTTTTAGAAAATTTGTATAACTTGCCTTGTGAATCCTCTAAATTAAACATTTTTGTTGTGAGCAAAGAAGGTCCCATTAAATCGTGGGAGTTACCTCAAGTTCTTCACAAGTTTTTTAAACTCACATTAAACAATAAGGTGGTTGTTTTTCCTTTATTACATACAACTGCTTAATTTGTTACAGATTTGTTTATCGCTGTTAATTTTTTTCCATTATGTAATTGTTATTTTCTTAAAAACGTAAAAACAATTTCTCTCTTTTTAAAAAATGTGTAGTGTCACAAATTTTGGACCTCGTTTTGGACGTAATAGATTTAATCTCGGATTTAATATATATTTTCTATGAGGATTAAATTAAAATATTTTTTTTATTAAATTCAC